TAACTTGTGCAAGGCGCAAATGAAAGCGAGCATTAGCGAAAATGCCTGTGGATGGCTGTCTTCTGATGGCTTGATGAAATTTCCCTCGCTCAATGACTTATTCAGCTTCCCACGCTCACTTTGCTGAACTTTGGCTTTAGTTAAAACCAATTTGCTGCCGCCAAGATAATCACCTTGGAGACGGAGAGCTGAGATGCTAGGGAATCTGCTTAATAGTCAGTTTCTATAGCCAGTTGCTGTGTTGCATTGACACCTTAGAGAGCGTTGCTCCTTTCACCTGTTCCGTCCGACTGTCTCCTCAGCTCCGACACGTGCCCAGGATCCTGATGTTCTGAAGTCGTGTCGTGGGTAGATAAAAAAGTATTGCACCCACCAGGACCTCCCAGATGATGACGATGATGGTGCAGATGATGGGAATGCAGGCACGTCTGTTGCTCTCTGCTCGTTTGCCGTCTGTGCCAATCAAGCCGGGAGGCTCTAAGGACAACACTACACTAAGCCATACAACGCCCACACTAACATCAGCCAACAACGACATCGACAAAAGTGAAAGCAACAAAATCTTCATCATCAAGTGTCATTCTGGGCAGAAGTTGACGCATACAGGCTGTCACTGAACGAAAAGAGGGCTTACATTGTTCTTAAGCAAAAAAATCTGAAAGCTTTAAGAATAGTATTCTATTTCCATGTAACTCTACATGTTCCCAGTGCACAAAAGCTATATTGAGGCATTTGTCTATGTGCATCTCTATCCATCTGGCTATGTCCCACCCTTTTCGTCTCTTTGGCCAACTATTGCCATGAATATTTATGCTTTTGTTGCGAGGACCTCCTCCCCAGGATCGTTTTGGATGTTGTTTTTAGATTTTCAACCCGGGAAGGTGACTGAGGGAAGCTGAGCCCCAGCTGTTGTTCTTCAAGAGCACACACTGTCTGGCAAATCAAGTGGACAAGTTTGAATTGCTGTTGTTGATATTTCTGTGGCTTCGGGGCTAAATTTGGTTTTAAAATGAAACTTTTGGCTCCATCAGACTTTACAAAGTATTCGAAAGCATTTCCCGCACTATTGAACTTTCATTCGAAACTCAATTTCCGCCGGCAGGTACACAATGCCAAACTAAAACTCCCGATAGGTGAGGCCTGCGGGATCTACTCGTTCCAGTATCAATTAATAAGCCCCGACTTTACTGATTTATGCCAGCCCTGGGCAAGTGAATTGAAACCGTTTCAGCTTAATGCATATTTCGCAAAAACAGATTGCAGTCGAATGCCATTAAGCATTATCCGTGCAGGAACAAACACACACATCACACACATCAGCAATCAGCCATGCATTCGATTCGATGATTGATTTGAGTTTAATTGCTTTCAATTGTTTTGCGGAATGCAAATTTTACAAACGCCTGGCTGGGCAGCCGACCCGGAGATCAATAAGTAATAAGAAAATACTTTTCATACCGCTTGGAATGATGCGTGAAGTGGTCTCGGCAAAATATTATGCAACACTTTTGCCCCAAATTCACATACATTCACTTAAAATGTCTATCTTCATCCATTGACAAGTCGTCAAAAGCGACTGGCAAGGTCATGATGTGCCAAATACCCTCGGGGCTCTCAAGGAAATGGGCAAAAAAATAAAACTAAGAGGACTTCTGACTCTTTCTGTGCCACAGGATATGTGTGTATGTGTGTGTATCCTTCGCTGCTCCCAACTTTGTCACACTTTCAGCAGCGCCTTAAAATATTTGCTGCCTTGCTGCTGTATCTCTACTTTTCGCTTTTCTTGCTTATTGATTTTCCCTCTTGGGTAGACACAAAAAGAAAAATATACGAGTCTGGGAAAGCTTAATATATTATAGAGTAGGGTTTACTGTTTACTAGAGATAGTTTCACTTATTTTGCAATTATTTACAAACTAAAAAGAATAAGAAATTATAAGGGTATACTTGTAGTATATATTTTTAAGGTAAAAACTAAAAATCAATAAAACTTATACACAGTATTCCTTGTACTTTATTGTTAAGAGTGGTTGAGAAAAACTTTGTTGTCCTTTTATCACTTTAGTTATTGTTCCACTTCTTTTTTGTTTGAGGCTCTCTTTGGGCCAAATTGAAATCTTGGCCTGATGAGTATTTATAATTGCACTTGTCGCATTACAAGTGGCCATAGAAAGTGGGTGGCAACGGGCGCTCCCAATACTAATTAAGTTGGCCAGTTCGTGGGCCAGTCGTAGCCACAGGCTAGGGCCAATTCAAATTGAAATGACTCGTTGAGTGGCTGGTGGAAGTTGTAGGCCCCACCCACCACCTTACCCCATCGCCATCTTTTTCGCCGCCCACTTAGCCGGAGTGGCACTTGCCGTTGGTGGTAATGACGTCATTGCGGACAGTTGGTGGCCGGAATTCGGGGAGTTGACTGGCAGGTGTGTCTCTCCTGTGCGGTTGGAAGGGTGTTGCATATGTCAAGGCAATTAAATTCAAACCACAGAGGGTTTGCTAAAAATAAACAGGCCAGGAGTACAGGATTACAGGCCCCAAAAAGTAGGCAATATCTCAGTTGATTTTATCGCACCCACATCAAAATACTGCTGCCCTGAGCCTGACACGAGGGGTTATGACCTGAAATTATAATTATACGTATCACAGGCCCATCAGACCTAATTGAATTCCAACGCGCATTCCGCTACAACAGGGCGTATACGCGATTTCACCTAAAATGGCCTATGGCCCCGAAAAGAAAGAAAACAAGAGGCCCGAATGCCAATCAAATGCCAATCATCGAATTGTGCTTTATTATCGACATAGTTTTTGTGTCATTATCATATCCATATTTCAGACAGTTTTCAAATATTCCGACAGCAGGGTTGTGGGAAAACATGCAAATGCGAGCAAATACTGAAATCGGAGCAAAGGCGAAAAATTCCCGGAACCGAGTGCGTGCGGAGTTGGCGTGTAAATAAGTAAACACACATGGCCAGATGACCTCTAATCGGTTCCATTGTAATTTGTTGTATAAATAAGCATAATATGCTGTGTATCATCATCATCATCAGCGGCCGCAGAAGCAGCAGCAGCAGTCGCCGCGCGGGGCGTCATCATTTTTGGGGCTGGCTTGATGCCAGATTTATATCATCTTTCACTATATTATGGTATATATTCTATGTATATATACTGAAGGTAGGCCATTGTATGTGGGCCATTTATATGCACATATTTGTTGGCACATTCTGATGCCACTACCCAGTGCCCCGCGTCTCGTCTCTCGGCACTTGGCATTCTGGTTGTGTGCATAAAATATTTTTGTGGTAATTTTTCATGCTCACATTAGCGACGTCTGTCAACCGAAAAACGAGGGAAAACGATAGCTGCAGGGCTGGGTCTGTTGCAAAATGTTGCAACATCAAGAAGAAGCTGCAAGCTTCACTGCCACCCGCATAAATAAATAAAAATCCAAAAAGGGTCCTGCTGTTGAAAGAATGCGGCTCAGAGGCAAAGTGGAGTGGCAAAGGGTACGAACGTCCTGGCTGCTTTTCATTTAATCGGTATTGATTTTGTATTGTTGTTCCGCTGCCAATATTTTATTGTGCTCTCCGCTTTGGGGCACGTCTTTTACTTTCAGCGTTTGCGCTTTTTGCCAACCAACCAACCAACGGACCAGGCAACCGGGCCGATACGGTCCGGGCGTTAATTGAAAGCCATACAAATTGCGCCTCCGCCCAGGCTAGCAGGCAGGCAATTATAAAATTGTTTGGCCAAAGTTGATTGTGGCGTAAAATAGCCGGAATGGCTCTAAAACTTCCAGCACAGGCCAAGAAATAGAGAGACACGAACGGGCGTTAACATTGGGATCAATTGGCTATTTATTGCGCAACATTTTCAACAGGATTCCGCTTTTAAAATCCCACCATCGTCATTGTCCGAGTCAGGTTTCCTGCACTGAGCGAAATGTACCATTATATGGGATAATGGAACTTTTATTTAATCCTTAAATGCCTGGCTCTTGCGAGTGAAAAGCCTGCAATCCCTGCATGGGATTCATTCAATGACCACACAGACAGCCTAGAAAAGAACGAAATCCCCACATGAGGTACAATGCCAGTTCTTTTGTCCTGTGGACTGTATGTTCATTTGCTGGATGGAGGCTTCAGTCAATCTATAATTTATATAGTATAATGCTTTAGCAAAGGCACTCATTGCCAATGAATGTCCTTCCAAAAATTGCATTAAAAACGTCATTCGATAGAGGAGTTATCGTGAAGTCAGATTCACAAATGTTTGCTGTGTGTGTCGTATCTGGTTGTTCCACTCGTCGAATTAAAACTGAATTCGTGTTCCATACTGAATGCGGGAATTATTGTCTCCTTGGAGATGATTTATTTTTTGTGTATTGTTTTCCGAGGGGCTTGTTGATCTGGGGGCGTAAGTGTGTTTAACATATATACGAGGTCCTTGATTCGCTTTTGAATATGCAGAGACATCGAGAAAATGGAAGCAGGTTCCGCAAAATCGAATTAAAATCAATTCAATTTTGTTCATTAGCGGTGAAAACAATCTGAAGGTTACAAGTTCTCAGTTTGTGAACCACTTGTCCTGCCTCGAGAGAAGTCTCTTTGATTTTTGGTTTTATCTTGTGGTTTCTGACTCTTGGCCGCAAAAAAATCTGTGCCCCGCCTCAATAAAAATAGACTCATTCAGAACTAGTTGGCGGCGGTTGCAATTCAATTTTCTCGGTGCCCCCAAAACTCTCACACACGCCAAGTGCAACGCTAAAAAAAATGAATGGGGGACCGACAAATAGGCGGTTGCCACATTTCAATCCGTGGGGGAGAAGCCGAATCGCTGAAAAGTTTTAATTGAGTTTTTGCAACCAATCGAATAATCAAATCAAAATTCAATACAATAAAAACAAGCAGGCCAGTGCGGAAAAGAAATTAGTGCAATTGAATTAAGGCCGAAATAAGGCCAATTAAGTTATTAATCGAATTAACGCAACATACAACCGAGACTCAAAAAAAAAACGCCTGCAAAATGTTTGGCTGCATTTATCAGCTCTGGGACTGGTGAGTAGTATAGTATGGCATCCAGATTTTTATTTTTTATCATCCCCATCGGCACCCTCTGATTTTCCATTTCCATTTGCCATTTCCCGCGGAGAAAATGAGGCCTGCAAGGTCAGCCGTGTGGCTGTGGCCGGGGCGGCGACTGCAGTTAATCAATTACGGTCAATTACGTGGGGCCCGCTTTCAATTGCCGCTCGGGCCCGTGTCTTCTATAGCTGGAAGACCTTAGCAGAGGATTAACCCATTACTTCCCATAAAATAAGCTACAATAATGGTTAACTGAGCTTAGAGTCAAAAATAAGCTATTTATTATACCTCATATTTTACTATTGTCGTAAAATTTTGACGATTATTGCTACTTAAGATCAGTTTAAAATTTAGTATAGCCATTAAAGCTTAGTATTTAAAGCTTAAATTATATAGTTTTCTATAAATCAGGCTTAGAATGCATTAATGGGTTAACTACCCTGTCCTCGCTATTGAATTAAGCTTAAAGACCTCAGCCAATTGAATCACAGACCCACTGCCAGAGAGCACTTTTTCTAATCTCTTTTTTGTTTATTCTTGCCGCATTGCAGGTTGGAGGCGCCACCACTCTTCACCGCCGGCACTATGGACGCCAAGAAGCTGCAACAGCTGCAGGAGGCGGCCATACTTGCGCAGCAGCAGAAGAAGCTGCCGTTGGCGTACCAAACAAACTTGGTGGACTACCGGACGGCGGCCTACAGCCAAGCCCTTTACCAGCAGTCTCCGACAGCCACGAGTTCCAGCGGCGGCGGTCCACTCTCGCCCATCGAGATGCAGCCTCAATCGAAGCACCACGGCCTGCTGAAGCACGGCGGGGGTGGAGGAAACTCCAGCAGCTCACACAGTTCCCCGTACCACCAGTCGTACTCCAGCAGTGGCGGCGGGACGGCCGCTGAGCAGCTCTACCAGTCGCCCACGGAACGCACCTATCTGGCGGCGGCGGGCAGGTTGCAGGCTAATAACGCCACAGCCGGACATCATCCGATCTCGGCACTGCAGGCGCAGTATCAACAGCTCCAGGCAGCCAAGATGCAGGCCCAGATGGCCACCCAAAACGAGGCGGCCCAGCAGCAGCAACGCACCTTTGCATTGCGGCAGGCCATGAACCCGCCCACAGGACACTACCATATGAGTCAGTCCTCCAGCATGGTCTCCAATATGACCACGATGACCCAGCAACAGCAGCAGCAACACCAGAGGGCACCTCCTTCCTCTCTAAACTTGCAAAATCAATATCAGCCGGCGCAGGGTCCTTTGAAGTTGCAACAGCAACAAATGCCAAAGCACTATCAAGAGCAGCTCTATGCCCATCAGCAGCAACTCCAACAGCAGCAGCAGCAATTGCATCAGCAACAGTTGCAGCAACAACAGCAACAGCAGCAACAACAACAGCAGCAGCAGCAGCATCGCCATAAAACGGAGCTCCAAACACCTGGAAGTGAACATGGAACGGTCTACATCCAACAGAATCATCCAGGACATGTGGTGAACCAGGCCTGCCAGACCCAAATATCGGCAGTCAAGCCCAAGGCCACGCCCAGCTCGGAGGAGTCCTCGACCACCTCGGCCAAGAGCCCCTCCCACGCTCCCTTGGATCGCAAGAAGAGTGCCGGATCCATTCAGGCCCTGAAGTCGCCCATTACGAAGAGACCACCATCCACGCCGGTAACTCTGTCTGGATGGTTGCACAAGCAGGGATCCGACGGCCTGAAGGTGTGGCGCAAGCGGTGGTTCGTCTTGGCCGAGTACTGCCTGTACTACTACAAGGGTCCCGAAGAGGAGAAGCTCCTTGGGTCGGTTCTATTGCCATCATATCGGGTATCCGCCTGCTTGCCGGAGGACAAGATATATCGAAAGTTCGCCTTCAAGTGTGAGCACCAGAACATGAGAACCTATTGGCTGGCTGCTGACAATTCCGAGTCGATGATGACGTGGGTGCGAGCATTGGCCGCCGCAAGTATGATGCAGGCCCCCAGTAGCGGGGAGTCGGAGCCCAGTGTGAACTCCTCCCTCAATCACAGTGGAGAGAATTCGGATTCTGGGATTCACACCCTGCAGTCGCAGCCGAGCAAGGGACAACCCACACCCTCGTCGGACGGGTTAAGTGGAGGAGGTGGTGGAGTTAGCAGCTCCCAACCCCTGTACGCCAATGCACCGCCCAAGCCCCGACGAAGCAACGATGGGGGCTACTCCTCTCCATCGCCGGAACACAACGAACAGCAGCAGCAACACTCTAGTCGCCGATTGATGTCGCCCACGCAGCAGCTGTACCAGCAACAACAGCAGCAGCAGCAACACCAGCGATCTCAGCAGCAACAGCCGCAGCAACATCATGCCATTTACGACACCAGAACGGGTCATGTCTCCAGTGCCCTGCAACTCCAGCAGGCCCAGCAGCAATACTCACTGGACCACTTGGAGGCGCAGTTCCAGCAGCAGCAACTAGACATGGAGGAGCAGATTGCCCGACTGCAGCAGCAACGGGCCGCCGAGGAGATCTACGGCGAGCGGGAGATGTACATGGCCAAGCTCCTCCATCAGCAGCGCCAGGCCGCCAATGGCAGCTACCCCACCCAGCAGCAGCTCCTGCATGCGGAGCGGAGGACACCCGATGCCTATGGGCGGTCGAAGCAACAACGTCTCTTTGCCGCCGCTCAAGCTGCAGCGGACTACGAGGATATCTACAACATGTCCCAGCTGGCTGGAGCCGGGGGAGTGCCCATGTCGGCCCAGGAGGCACTACTGCAGGAGGCGGCCAGCTACCGGAGACCGCTTAGCCCGCCCAGCTACGATGGTTCCAAGCACGTGCCGGCCATGCCGCAGCGATACACGCCCAATCACTTGGAGGTAAGTGTGGAAATAAAAAGGGAAACACAAATAAGTTTTAAAGATTGAAAAGTCAAAGATGGTATCTATTAGATACTTTTCAAAAACCGTCTTCAGCAGCTTTCAGTTAAATTTTGTTTGGCATGCAGCTCAGCGTGGGTTTCCCTACATTAAATATTTTTACGAGGCAGTTTCAATTTAATGCTGCAGAAAGCCTCTAAGCCAACTTGTTTAAGTTTCAATGCATGCCAGTGGTGCATTTGCCGCATTACGAACCCAAAGTGCAATTTACAAAGGCAATCAAAATGGCAAAACCGCTGCCCCGGGCAGTCCAGAGCTGCGATTCACATTCCCATTCGTAGTCCCTGGTGCTCTGGCGATTGCGATTGCTGATGACCTGCCACTTGGCACGGCAACCCTCAGTTTATGGGTGCTTCGAGCTTAAAACTGGGAGCTTGTGGTGCTTGGGAACTTGGGAACTCGGGGGCGTGGCATCGGCGAAGGTCAGCCCAGCAAATCATCTGCTATGCCACTTGCTGTTGTCTGATTGCTGCAGCCAGTAAATGCAGCATACAAATAGACGGGGAGCGGCCGAGGGGTCCTTTTTATTTCCGCACCTCTTCCCCTGACCTAGTTGCAAAGTTTCTGGCTGCTTTTCTCCGGGAATCTCACCTCAGCACGTATCTGCTTTTCACTTTTATTTGCCCTTCGCCCGAAAGAGTCTGAGTGCTGGGTAACCTGATTCTGATTCTGTGCCTGTGCCTGTGCGGTGCTACGGCTTCTGCTCCTGCCAAGATAACTCCTTTTGCAGCGAAGAGGACTCCATAAAGCCACACAAAAGCCGCTTCAGAAGAGCGTTGCTGCTGCCATTGATGATGGCGGAGAATGCCCCAGAGTCTTTCGTGAAAACTTTCAGTTTCAAGCAGCTGTCTCGAGTTCGTAGCTTACGCTTTAATTGGACTTTAGTGTGTCAGTGGGTTGCTAAATTGCAGACATTTCTCCTTCCTACCACCGACTCTGGGAGGCGCCTCCGCTGCAATTTTCTTCAAATGCAACTTTATGAGTATACTGTCATGCAGCATGGGGGCTGCGGACAGGGGGCATGGCCGAGGCAAAGGAGCAACTGTTTAGTGGGTCAGGTCAGGCACTGCAAGTTAGCCGGGAAATGAGTCGCGTGCATGATTTATGGTCACAGGCTTCTGGGCCCGAAACCAGCTGTGCTGCCTGCCTGCCAAGTGTCGAACAAGTCACAGGGCCTGCCAATTTTCTACACTTAAAAAAGAATTTAACCTTTGCAGTAATTGGTTCCAACTCCTTCCGATTTTAGCGAGCCTCTGTTTTTCGTAGTGCAGGCCTAGTTAAAAATGCAATAGCCATTTGAAACGAACCATTACATAACCCTTGCTAACTGTTTTCGTTTTTGTGCCTTTCCAGGCCAGCGGCGCTGATCAACTAATCAATACAATGGACTTGCGTGCTCGCACAGCGGCGGCCATCGTGCGTCCGCATTCGGCCGACTTCCTGGAGTATGAGGCGCGTGCCGAGGCTGCTGCTGCGGCTGCCGCGGCAGCCATTGCCCAGAGCCAGCAGGAGAGCGGCCGGGCACCCAGACCCAAGTCCAGTTTGGACATCAACCGGACACCGGACAGCTTCTACTATTCGGAGGCGAGTTATGCGGACAAGATGCGAAAGAGCGCCCTCTATCTGCAGAACGGGGCTCAACCGCAGCAGGCGGGAAGCTATCGAACTGCGGCCGGAGATATCAATTCCGGCGTTAACACCATCGGCTACGAGAATCCGTATGAGAGGGCCTACAAGCGACAGGAGCTGCTGGCCGAGGCGCAGGCCCAGGCCCATGCTCAGGCCAGTAGCATGCCCAGGATGAGTCGATCGGCCAGCCAGGGACGAGCGATGGGGTCGCAACTGCAGTCACCGCAGCAGGAGGACCTGCCACCGCTGAACGTGCACCCCGGCTCCATATTTCCGCCATCGATGTCCACCCAGGAGATAATCTGCAAAAACGAGCAGTTCCTGCGTTCCGCCAGTGCTCGACTGCCCAAGAGAAACGGCATGGATGATGACTATTCGGCGGCCAACTCCACCACCACGTCACCCACATCGGGAGCTGCCCCCTCCCCGCAGCACCAGGAGGGTGAGAGGAAGCGGGAGGAGTCCATGAAGCGTCTGCTGGAGTGGAAGCAGCGCATGCTGCAGTCACCTTTGACCCGCAAGGGCATCCAGCAGGGCGGTAGCAACATGTCCGCCATGTCAAAGCTGGGCAGCAATCCGAACATACTTCTGGCATCTACGGCAGTGGCCAGTGGAGCACGCTATGCCCCTCAGGCGGGCAAGACGGGTCTGGTGGGCAACGGCAATGGCAATGGTAGTGCAGCCGGAAACGGAAGTGCTTCGGGGGCAGGAAATGCCGCTACAGCCGCAGGAATCCAACGCTCTCGATCCGAATCACAGGCTAACATGGGACCTGGTGGAGTGGCGTACAACAACTACTCCTCGGATGATGAAGGTAAGTCTCGATCTGAATGCTACTTGTATCTTAAAATCCCATTTTGCTTGGCTTCAACTCTGTTTCTATGTAATTTGTCTCTATCTTTATCTGTATCTGTATCTTTAACTGTCTCTGATCTGTATCTGAAACTATATTTATGCGCCAATATCTTAAAAAGTAAAAAATTCAAGAGGTCTTTAAATTGTTAGATCTTTTATTTGTAACTATTTGTGCGCATAAATCTAGTATATATCTTTTTAGACATGAGTAGCTGTATCTTTATTTTTATCTGTATCTGTATCTGTAGCTGTTGCTAACCGCGCTGGCATCCTGTGCGCTTCCTACTTTTACTTTTATTTACTCTCTGGCTTTGCTTTCCAGTTAGTTGCATGTTTAGTTGCAGGTCCTTGTGCAGGTCCTCCTCGCTCTTGTGCTTTGTGGTTGTCGAGTTTTCCCCTTCAAGAGCAAGTTGTTTACTTGTAATTGAAAACGCCGTCGCTTGCTTTGCTTTAAACTTTAAACTATGAACTTTAAAAGACCCGCATAAAAGCCCACTCAGTGGTCGGGGCTGTTGTTTCTGTTTCTGACATCCTTTTTTGCTTCTGGGCCAACTTTTAGGCCGTCTAGATGAACTAATTATAAGCCTAACCCTATTTCCATGCTAATCTATCATGTCCAGACGCCAGACTAAACAAATAAAAGCTTCATGTAGTGGATAGCAGTGTGTTTCTGCCATTTTTTGTTGCATTGTTTTATGATTTAATATGGTTAATTAAAAATAGGCAATAGGCAATACGAAGAGCCAAAACTAGACAAGCTCGCTAAGCTAGTTTCATAGATTATTCGAACAAAAAAACCTTCCTGCCGTGCGCACACACACAACACATACATTGACATGCACAAATTTCCTAAAAAAAAAAATAATTAATAAAATATAAATTATAATCGAAAGCAACGTGAACCGATTTACAGTTGAAGCCCAAAAGTAGGCAACACAAAGAACGAACTTCCGGCCATGTTTCAAGTTTCTGGCCAACCTTAGCTAACATTTATTGTTGCCTGTATTTTGAGGAAAAAGAGGCTAATCTGTATCTCTGTAGTCAATAAATCTCTCTCTGTTTGAACACACACTCTTTATCTTTCATGGGTTTAGTTTTTGGAAAATGGTATACATATTAAAGTAGTCTCGTTTCATTCATAAATACATATACATTTATGGTATACATATGTTTTCCATTCATGACAATTGGTGCTTGGTATTTCCACTACTAAATGCCGCTGTAAACTTCGCACTAAAACCCAAACAACCAAACCAAACCAAACTCTAAACTCTAAATAATGAAACTCAATCTGAATCTGGGCTCATAGCGCAATCGACAACCCATTCGATTGAATTTAATTACTTTCCAAACCAGCAAAGATATACAAACATGTTTTATATTTCTTCTTTTTCCATACAAACAATCAAAAATTTGAATTTTGGTAACTCTTTGAAAACAATATTTTACCTCAATTTATGTAAATGCTGTAAATGTAATCCGTTTGAAATTATCAAAAACAAAAAAAAAAAATAATTGAATGAATGATAACTTGCAAATTAAACATAAACAAACAATACGCACGTATCCCAGATGCGACTGTGGATGAAAACTTGTATAAAGCGGCGGCAGGAAGGTCAACATCAACAACAAATACCACAACAACAGAAACTGAAACAGAAACAGAACCACGACCAACAACAACAACAACATCCCAACAGGTAGCAACAACAACAGCAGCAATAGAAAATCATAGCAGTAGCACAAATTTAGACAGTCCAACAATAGCAACAATAGCTGCAACAGAGGTAGCTGCCACACCAAGCCAAACAGTCCAAACAGTGCAACCAGTCCAAACAACACCATCAACACTAAAAGCAACCAATGCCAAATTCCAGCTAAAGCCCATTTTGAAAGTGCATGAGGCGAGCAAGACCCGCATTATTCAGGTGATTCAGGCGCATTATTCAGGAAAGGAGCAGGAGTCGGAGCTGGAGGAAGGGGACTCTGAGCCTGTACCCATTTTGCCAAAGAAAATAGCACCCAAATCGCCGCAGAATGCCAATTATGTTCCCGTGTACAGCAACAAGCTGGTCAGCAGCAGCAACTACGAGAACATGGAGTTTGGCAGGCCAATCGCCTCCGACAGCAAGACAGCGATTACGGATCCCGAGGAGACACCCATGCTTATGCAACTGAAGCTGTTCAAGGAGCAACAACAGCAGAAGGAACAACTTCAGGCCCCGGAGGAGGACCTGACACCCACAGCGGAAAGCAAGCCGATTCCCGGCGAGGATATGAATGCGGGCGTTGCGGAAGACGAAGAAGATGATGAGGACGAGGCGGAGGACGAAGATGAGAGCACAGCCTGTGAAGAGTACACTGACGATGACATTGACGAGGCTCTGGCGCAGGACGAAGAGGATGCGGATGAGGGCTCCGAGCACCTGGATCCTGAAACTGAAAAGCTGAAAAAAGAGCAGGAAGAGGAGAAGGAGCTGCAGCAGATTTATGTCAATGAACCCATCACCCCCACCGACCAGCAATTCGACGAGAGTCACTATTTGCCCATGACACCTAAAAAGGTGGAACTGGGCCAGCCTGGTGTCCTCACTTTGGTCAGCATGCACGAGTGCTATGCCGAGGAGGAGGAAAATCACTACGTGGAGATGACCAAGGGCATTGAGGAGGACGATAGCAAGAGCAACTATGAAATCATGTGCCTGGCCAGCTCCTGCGAAGTGAAGGTAACCACCAAATCGGAGCCTGTCTATATGGAACTAGCAGGGGTGAAGCCTGCTCCGCCACCAGTCGAAGAGGCGCACTGTTCCTCAGGCCGATCCACCCTCAAGAAGGCTAAGAAATCAGGAAGCGAAACGCTGAAGAAGAAAACCAAGAAACGTCAGGGAAAGGACATGCCGGATATCCTCAAGCCGGCCAAGAGCGCCTTGGCCTTGGCCAGTGACAGCTCGGACGCGGATGACGAGAGCAGCAGGCAGCAGCTGGAGGCCAAGAAGCTGAGATCCCGATCCCGTTTCAGCCTGTCGGACACCTTTAGGCCGGCTTCCTACTATTTGGGAGCCTCCACGCCCCTCAACAACTATGCCGAGAGTTCTGACAGCGAAATCCTGCCACCGCCTCCCATTCCAGACTCGCCGCCACCCATGGAGGAGCTAAAGACAGAGGAAATATTTTCCTCGGAGCACTACGATACAGTGAAGCGTCGTGACAGCAACAGCAAAGTGAATCTCTCCTACGAGCAGCTCCCCAAAATGCATGCCAGCAATACGTCCTTGAACTTACCCAAAGCTGCTCCAAGTCCTACCCTGAAGAGCAGTCGACTTTCGCTACCCGATCACTTCACCAAGATGAGACTTACGCCTCAGAGATTGCAGGTTACGGCCACGCCTCCGCAGCAACATCACGCCCGTACTCTGTCCGACTCCAACTACAGTTGCCAGTTGACGGACAATAGCTCCCGCACCTCCTCGGACCTGGACTTGTACCGGAGGAGAGGTCAACAGCAGCGGTGCACCAGCAACAATTCGCTACCCCTGAGCAGCGAGAATGAATCGGTGGAGTTCCGCCAGAGATCAGACTCGGAGCTGGATCGCCAGAGGTCGAGGAGACCCCTTTCGCAGGAGTCCATCAGCGAAATCGAGTCCCTGAGCGAACAGTTCGAGGAGACCCTGAGCAGTCACGAGCTGGACACCTACCTGAGCCATTTGCACCTGCCCACGGGTCAGGCCACGCCCACGAGTCACCTGCTGAACGATGCCAATGCCGCTGCCGGAGCAGATATCCTCACAAACCTCATTAAGCCGCCGAAAACATTCCGCAACGCCGAAGACGAGGAGCAGCACTTTTACGGAAACATACACTTTCTCTCCTCCACGGACTCCATTCAGCAGCTAGGCGGAGGCTCAGGTGGATTGGAGCAGTTGCCGGGTGGAGGAGCCGCTGCTGCCTGCTTGGTGGCGCTTCATAGTCGCAACAACAGCAACATATCCACTCAATCAGCCCCTTATTACTACTCGGAGCTGCCGACACCACCACAGTTGAATAACCAGCGCGATATACACGCCCATGGCTTGAACATTGCCCACATCCACAACCCCATCGACAGGTTCAATGTGGACGCCTTGGTGGATAAGGATCAGGCTATCGACAGCAAGAACCTGTACTGCATGAAGGATAACAACGAGAAGCTAAGCAACAAGAACCTGAAGCTGAACAACAACCAACTGGCGGACGCAGTGGAGCCACCAGAGAGTAGCGGTAGTGGCTCACTAAACCCATCACATTCATATCTCACAACTACTAAAAACACAAATCTCGCTCGTAAGACGATTGGTGGTAGCGATGGCAACCCTAACGATGGTGCTGGTGAAGATTCGGATGCAGGCAGTGGCTTAGGCGGAGGCGGAGAAGTGGGAGGTGTTACACCTGGAAAGACCCCGTCCAATAATGTGAATCCCAACCTCTCAGTTCTAGGTGGCGAGTTGCTTTGGGAGGAGGATGCTCTCTGGCGGGAAAGCTTACGGCGCGTCTCGCAGCGACATGCCCGATCCCTGGACGACCTGGACAGGATAACAGCAGGTCCAGTCGCCAGCACCCCTAAAGCCAAGTTGAGCCGCGAGGTGACCTATGTGAACGATAGCCAGAAGCCGCGACAGCCGGCCCAGCCGCAGCCCCTGAATGAACATGATGTCTATGTCCAACTTTTGGAGAACGCATCGCTGAACCAGGATCATAACGACTCCGATGTGTACGAGGTCCTGCGGGAAGAGACGGCCTCCAATTTGTCGCACAAATCCAACGAGCTGGATCGCGAAACCATACGCCAGTGGGATGCCATGTCGAGTGGCCTGATGAAGAGTCACCACAGCAACACAGAGACCACCGGAGGCCATAATTCGGGGGGTGTTGCCCACCTGCCCCTCACCAGCAATGTGCGCTCCATCATCCAACAGCTGAACAATAGCACAACCTCCAATGACGATGCCAATGGCAATCCTCTGGCATCGGGCAGAAAGTCCAGGAACAACAACCACTGAGGCAGGCAATAGCCCAGCCCAAAAACCATATAAATATTCGCAATGCAGGCTTTCCGTAGTTTTAAATTAGTTTTCCCAATTTTCCACATTTTCCCAATTTTCCACCGTCTGGCAATGATTTTTTTTTATATGTATATCTATCGCTCTGCGTGGACTTTTGTTTGCCAATCACCATCATCATTATGTTTTTCAGTTAGATAGTCTCTTATTTGTTTTGTCAATTGTCACTGTTACTTTTACTGTTGTTGTTGTTGTTGTTGTCGTCATTATTGTTGTTGTGTTGTTTTGTTTAATTAATCAACTGGTAAGCAAACTTATATATATATAAAATAAATTATGACAACCCTCATATCTCATTAAGTCATTAAAGCGCTTGTAAATATTCTGCCACTCACTCACCATCCCAACACAAACTCGCACCAATTCTATGAAACACTCACGCTGTATAGTTGGAAAAAAAATCTTTAAAATTTACAAAAACTAGATAAACACACTCTCCGTTCTAGGCAGCTTAACAGATTTCCATCAGATACAGCCACTGATCAGTAAAAACCAACAATTTCCGCTTGTAGCTACTATCCTATCTCCGAAAAAATGAATTACTTCAAATAATACAGCCAGCCCTTGCCAGAAAAATTAAATATTCCACACAACTGCTGACTGACTGATTGCTTTCCTAAATCCTAAATATTTCGCGCACGCATTCCAAAAACTATTTTAAGCCTGCCGCCCCCTCCATAAACAATTTCCCACCGAAAGTATTTGGCTAATTACATTCTCCATCCTTGTAGCCTCAATATCCGTGCGCAATGTTAACAACCTGCCCATGGGCAACCTCACGGTGAAGCCGGATCCCTCAGATACCCACCATCAGCAGCAGGAGTCAGCGTTTGCCCCGTACTATGGAGGAGCCGCCGAGACCAAGTACGCCAAGAACACTGTGCTCACGGACCGCGGACTCTACGCCGGAAACGGAGCCGGATTGGCCACATCCACTCCGCAGCATCAGCAGCAGCAGTTCCGTATGCGGCGCACCGGTAGTCGGGCGGAAATCGATATGCTCGAGAGGGAGACCAGCAGCCAGATTAGGGTAAGTGAAGAGGTTAAGCAACGTTTACTACCTTGATTCAACAAAGTTTCAGATTTCCCATTAATCTTAAAGTGCCCAATTATACAAATATATAGTTTGTCAGGACTTGAGCTTAATTATTCAAAATAGAAATGAAAGGATACTGTTGATATACTGATTTTGAGGAAAATTAAATCAATTAGTTGTTTATTGAATTTATGAAATATTAGAAAAAGAAAAAACGCAGTAGCATTTATAATTTTGCACCACCCACAGAACCTGGAAATGTCGGCTGGGGATTTGTTGAGCCGTACCCACGAGGAGCTGGTCCTTCTCCTGATTCAACTGAGACGCCAGAGCAGCCAAACGGCCAGAGCCATCGAGCAGTGCTGCAGTGATATGCACGATGTCCAGGTGGATAGAGCATCTATTATTTCCATGTTTTTTTCCGGTGGGGGGACTGTGGTTATGGCTAACATCAGGTGGCTGGTTTTATGACTAATTCTATGCTTGATTAACTAAATTTAATTTAATTATCTTAATTTAAGACTAAAAACTAACAAGACCAATTCCAAATTCCAAACAGAATCGCCTGCGCAGTGCCGAAGGTTTAACGCGAGCTGAGAGCATCCAGCGACTGGACTATTTGAAACAGCACCTTTTGGACTTGGAACGGCACTATGAGAAGAGCAAGCCCTTGGTCAATCTGGTGGACAACATGGTCAAGTTGGGTTCACTATACCGGAACGATGCCAACGGCAGAGTCCAGCCAACCACTATCGAGCGTGTGGAGTTCAATCAGCGTATGCAGGAGCGGCAGATGCTGCAGGAAGAGCAGCAGCAATGGGACCGTCTCAGTCCCAATCAGGCCGAGCTACAGGTAGGCTAAGAAAACCTTAAAAATATACTAATAAATTATAAATATTTAATTATAATTGTTACACCTTTCTTGCTCAGGCCAAGGTTCATGAGCTCTACCAACTGGATCAACTCCTGCAGGAAGAGTCTGGAACTCTGCAGAGCCTGCAGCGCGACAAGGAGGACCTTGAGCGAGCTTTGGGTGGTCTGAGGGCTAGAATCCAAGACAGCAATGCCACGCCCATGGCTCTGGAGGCGGCCAAGAAGCAACAACACATTTTGGAGCGCGAACTGTCGCGTGTCCATCAGCTTCTGGCTGAGAACTCAAAGGTATCCAAGGTGCCTAGTAGAAGTTTTTTGCATTTTGTGTCCACATCTGACAAGATGCGTCTTATATGTATGTCTGCTTGAGCTTAGCATGTCGCTTATGTAACTAACAAAAAAAACTAATTTAAAAAGTGTAATCCATTTTCAGAGCTTCAACTTCATTCGATATGCAAAAGTCTATGCAGTTTTTGATAGAACAAATGAAAACTTTTTATGGTTTCTTTGTCGTTCCATTCATCATTTAAAAGCATTAATTTTTTGATAAAAAAGAGGTTTCAACAAAAATATAATTAAATTTCTATTCAAACAAAAGATCTCCTTCAAATGAAACATTTCAAAAGCTCAACTATAGAATTGAATGCAAAAGACTTCTCATTTTTGTAGCTTCTGCTGCATGTGCCCTATCCAAATTAAAGAGCAACCCGACTAAACCAAAATCTAACATTTCAGAAACTGGAGCAGACAGTGGCGGGTAATGCTCGACTGGAGCAGGAGCTGCTGCTTTTGCGCCAGAAAGTGCAGGACACTCGAGGAGCTGCCACAAACGGAATCGACGCTGCTGCACCCATGAATGGCGACCAAAACGCAGCTGTTTTACAATCCGAACTGGAGCGTGTCCAGTCCTTGGTGGGGGATATGCAAAGGCAGCGACATGAACTCAGCACCGCAGTGCGCCAGCTGACGGAGAACTCGAGCCGGTTGTACCAGGAGATTGGAAAGCAGGAGGTTATGAACGGTGGGGGCTCCACCAACGGCAGCCTGAAGAAGCGCAGCAACTCGACCAGCTGGACCGAAACGGACTTGGACTCCAATATGCTGAAGAGTGGTAGTCGGCAGCACCTAAACGACTCCAGCCTGAACCTATCCACTCCTTTGTATGTGGACACCAATAGCTCCTCGAAGTTAAACGACTATAACCGCTACAACGGCGGCGGAAGCAGCGATGCCCTAGAGATGAGCGGAATGGAGAGCGATGGCTTCTTGGAAAGCAACCCCTTCGCCATGGGCCTGGAGAAGCAGGAAATCAAGACCGTGAGGATTGTGAAGAGGGAATCGGAGCGCCGACATCGGGATCGCAGCGAACGGGGACTGAGCAGCTCCATCCAGAATCTGGACCAGGTGATGGAGGAGGAGATGTATGCCCAGCAGCAGCGCGAACAGAACGCCATGTATCCACAGAACAACGAGGAGCAGCCGATGACCAATGGTCACCACAGCCGCTCCAAGTCACTGCCTAGAAACTACTCTGAACCTCCCAAGCCGCGGCACAGTCGACACATGAATGGAAAGACCAACGGCCACCACCACTACAACAACGGAGGTGGCTATGACTACGACCGGAACAGCAACTACGAGCACCAGCCGCCACCACCGCCGGCACCACAGAGCAGCAATGGGCACCACCACCAGCAGAGGGAGCACCTGAACCCGCTGGCCAATGCCTACTTCGCCAAGCAGCTCCAGCAGCAGGCGAATCCTTCTCGCGACAGTGCCCGCGTGGCCTTGCGCACCAAAACCGACTCCTTGCAGAGCCTGAACAAGAGCCTCACGGATCTTAGTCCGGAGCCTGTGTTCCAGAGCGTGGCTGCCCGTCAGATCATCAACGAAATGTCCGCCGGATCGGCCTCTGAGGACACCGAGAAGGTGGTGGAGAAAGTGCCGCCTCCTCACAAGCATCGACGGGCAGTGCCCCGGGAGAAGAGACGTCACTATACTGCCCCGAATAATGTCAATCAGAAGGCCATGGAGAAGGTGCAGGCCGAGAACGATATGAATCGCAATGTAAGTGTAGTTTACGTTTTAATTTTTTAAAATTAAATGAAAATAACTTTTTAAAATCATGTTACAGAACACTAACTGGCGAGCTCGCGATGACCTGGACATGGAGGTGGCTCTGCGGCCGCGAATGAATGCCCCCGATGTGGTGCGATCAGCTCTGGGGCAGGGTGAGAAAATTTCGGAGAATACCATTGATAACTTGCTCTTGGCGCCGAACAAAATAGTCATACCCGAGCGTTACATACCAGAAACAGTAAGTATTAAATCGATATTAAATGCAATGGGCGTTTAATTTCTTAAAAATCTAACAGACGCCCGAACTGTCGCCGGAGGAGAAGAAACGCCGTCAGGAGAAGGTCGAGTCCATCAAGAAAATGCTGGCCGAAGCCCCCATTAGCAGCAACGTATGTTTCTTTTTCTTTTCTGAGTAATCTTAACTAATAAATATATTTTTAAATAGGAAAATGAGAGCCTGCCGCCGAGCAAACTCAACGCTGAGAAGAAACAACGCGAGCACCTGTTGCAGCTCAACCAAATCCTGGCCCAGCAGGTGATGCAAGTCAGCAAGATCGTAGCCGGTGAGTAGAATGCATCCAGGGTTGTCTTAGGTCTTTTACCAGCAGTTGACCTTCGTGTTGAGTTCCAATTGATATCCGAAAGTAAATCCCGATTCAACCATATAAGCAATGCCTTGCCAGTTTCGTTTCTGTTCCATGTTTATGTTCATTACTAATAAGCTCTCCAAATCGATGATATTACTACTACTATATGTGTGTATATACATAAGCGTTAATTCAGTGTAATCTAACCATGTCAGAGTCCCGTCCAACTCTGTCTACCTGCCCCTTCATTTCAAACTATCAACTTTATGCTCTTCTAATCTCTATATATGTATCTTCTTTCGACTCTTTCTGATTTCTAGATGATTAATGATAATACATATCATAAGCATACCATCTAATCTAATGCGTTAAGTCCCCAGTTCGAATAAGATATCTCAGATCATCCCCCCACCTCATTGCGAGCTCATCGACGGCGTCCGACTCCATAGCCCCTTTTTCACAGCCAAGACCACACTTTTCACACCCACACCCACTCACTCAAACAAACAACTTCAAACAACATCAAACACTGTCAACAAACAGTCAATCGTACAAACATTTCCAACCTCTTCTCCAACAGTGTCCTCTCATTCGTTCGCTTTGCACTCGACCAGTTCTATAATCTATAATTAATCGTAAATTAAGTAACCATCCATGTCATAGATTCAATGAGAATATGCACATTGCGTATACGCAGTGTTGGTCCACAGACATATCTAAAATTCAAGACAAAATTAAATTGCATTGGGGAATTGCATTCGTTCGAGATGAAAAAAATGTAAAATCACTTAAATATTTACTAATATTAATATTTATTCTATAGAAGTTACACTTTTTTTTAATTTAATATATTTTATTTTCATTTTATTTATTTATATTCGTTTAATTTTATATGTTTATTTTATTTGTTTTGCATATTTTTCTAGGCAATCCCAATAGTCACAACTAATCCGCAAGTAGCCTGTCAAGTTGTTTTTGTTCACATTTTGTGTTTTACATTGCATTGCATTTGATTTACGTTTCACTTTGTGTTTGCAAATCGATAACTAAGAGGGTTCGCATCACGATTCGCGCAACATACTATACATATAATATATATATCTTGTTCAGTACATTCGAAACATACAAATATATGCAAAAATAGTACGTTACACCTAAGTATTCAGTAACAACAACGGCAAACAAACACACACGCGATATTGAGATTTAAAGCATGCTAAACTCACAAAAAAAACTCACTCCAAACAAAAAAGCAAACTTCACAAAAACAAAAAGAAATTACTAAACATGAAACAATAGAAAAAACGACAACAACAATAAACAGCAACGCAATAGCAACAAGAACAAGTACAACAACAACAAGCACAAGAACAACAACAACAGAAATACGATTCCGTAAGTCCAGGTTTGTACACATTTCGATTAATACAATATTCATAAATAAACAATGAACCGAGTATTGTAGCTACCATGCCATGCATTCCATGTATAATCACGCCAAAAAGTCTGCCTAGCTTTAATGATGATTCTATAATATATTGGTCCCATAAATTAATCAACCTGCACGCCATAACTATAAATTATATTGTAAAATATAACACCTTGGGAAAAAAGCACTCCTACACTAAGCCACTAATCCACTAAACACAAAACTTACCAAACACCTTAAAAAATAAAAAGAAAATGTTAGCAGCACTTCTAAAGAAGCACTATTAGCACTTCAAAGCAAACTATTGGAAAATAAAAAGGATATTGGTTAAAAAATTGTATAAAGGAGAAGTTTTTAAAAAACCACATTTTTTAGTCTGAGAATAAAATTGTTTAGGTTTGAGAAAGTTTTGAAATCAAATTCCATGCAAATTGCTTAGTTTCGGAACTAAATTTCTGCACTGCCTAACATGCGTATAAAAGTTTGTCAAAAAGAGTCAAGATGCGATAAATCGCTGACGAAAACGAGTAAGTATAGCTCAAAGCACCAATAAAACAGCTAAGACAGGAGTACTAGCAGCAAGCAAGAATCAACAAACAACTTTTACAAACAAACCCAACACAAACCAAAACTTACACGATATATATATACTTCCAAATGGGTTATCGGTGTACTTTTTTTCTATATAACCTACATATACTTCAAACTTTTACAGCACGCTTGGAGGGGTTTTTGGTCTAAGCTATACAATTTTTATGATATGATGCACTAACTTTTGGCCATTTTTGTTAACCCACAGAAAAAGCAATGGCCGAAAAAGCAAACCAGGAGGAGGAGGACGAGCTGCGACCGGAGTCACCAAGCGAACCACTGCCGATATTCCAGCAACGCGACAATTTTTATAGCTAAACGGCAACAGCAACAACTAATTAAATAACTCCGATAAGCGATTATTGAATATATTAATCAGGCACAATATCCGCTGCATTTATCTTGAGAATCAAACTAGGAAATTTGCTAACAATTTTAACCGAAAATCGTATCAATTCATAAATGTGACTGAGTTATATGGAATGTTATATGTATATCTGTTGAAAAGACTATTATAAAATCGGAAATCAGACGTAAATTGGGTCGGGAAAACGATTGTTATCGATACTATGCATATTATTATTATATATATACAACATACATATACAATATGGAAATCAAAGATTCAACATATCAATTTAAGCAAACAATTGCAAAGTCATTAAAGAAAAACGATATCAATTACACACAATTAGCGGGCGTTCTTGACGTTTTGTAGGAATATCGATTGAAAAATTAAGGTAGTTTCAGATTCAATTGTGTTCGACTTGAGTTGGATTTGAGACGAATCAAATACGTTCCTGAAAGGCTTACGAATGGAAATTGGTCAAAAATCATGACAGCATTCATGACAACTAAAACAATAACTTTAAAGACTTTTGTAACAGACTTTTCGAGAGTAGCGCATTTTCTCTACAAAAGTAACTAACCAAACAACCAGACAACAGCAGTTAAAACCACTTTTGGAGCCAATATTATTGCATTTGATATGAACAAGTTTTTAAGATCAGTCAGAAGAAGAGATATATCAACAGCAAGGGCATCAAAATCTTTAGCTAGAGACTCAGAATCGAACTCAACCAGATAACGCACTGCGCACTCAATGCGCTTTCAACCTTCGCAATTTCCCCCAAAAGGTACCTATCGCAATTATTAATAATGGAATATTATAAATGCATAACTGATGAAATATAATTGAATTGTATTTAAACGTGAACATACATATAACAAGCGACGCTGAACTACGACATGCATATATTAATTTTAAATTATAAATATTTAAACGAGCATAATGCTATAATATACACACGCGTACATATAATTATTTAAATGTAGGTCAATTAGCCAGGCAATTAATGAAAGAAATCGGAAATTGAAAGCTGGGGAAGCGGTTAAAAATAAATATTAGATCATGTTGGTGAATATTACAAAATACAATGCAATTCAAGTCAATGGATAAAATTACACGCAATCGCTGGTTGAATTTAATGTCTATATAACTTTAAAAGTTATTGAAAACGCATAGCTCTATTCAAAACTATATATACAAAATTTTAATCGAAATACCCCACAAGATAAACAACGAGAAATTGTTAATAGACAAAAATGAATCTTAATGCAAGCGATACATGCAAAATTGTACAAAAATATATTTTAAGTTCTTAGTTTTTAGTTGTTATTACGATGATTATGTTACAGCTATGACACTTTGGTTTAAGGTTCATTTTCTTTAAACATAAGTTATCTATGATTCCATAAGTTTTTTTTTGTACATTTCGCGGTGCTATATGGATGTGTATACATATGTAGATTACTTTCGTTCTATAAGTTCGTGCATAAACTGAAAACAATTAGGCAAAGTCAAATTATTGGTAAACATTGTCAGATATGTAGATTGTCAGGCTTCGAAATGCAACTGCACTAAGCATATACGCACGCATACTCCCTAAATACGAAAACACAAAAAATGACAACATTAAAGAACCCACAAAAAATATTTATTGCATATATATACATACAAATAAATATACATAAACATATACATATACATAAAAGCTGTACGTCATAATATGATAAGAGTTGAAGACGATAAACTGCGAACGAGAAATGTTATCAATAAAGATTATAGTTGAAAATTCAAATTACCCATTGTTTCCTTTGTAACGAATAAAATGGCGAAGGTTTTACGGAACAGGAACTGCGTACTGCCCAGTGGTCGAATGACGAATCTGAATCTTGGTTCCAATTGCCGGCTAAATTCAAGATCAATGTTAAGGGGCGCGGACTACGACGATGTCGTCTTGAATCTCAATGAATCCCGGCGCTGACAGCTCAGCTTTGAATATGACGGTTGAATTCAATTCCCGGGCACTCGACACTCGAGGCATAACAAATAATTCCAGAAATCAACGCCAAAAAAAATACATATGCGTGTGGGTGGTAGAGATACATATCGGGTGAAATGTGGAGCATTCGATAACTTTCTAAAAGTTTTCTTATCACGGTTCGATATCCAATTAGCATAATCGTGACTCTTGTGGCGCAGTAGATCGCCCACAACGAAAGTGAGTGTTTTGAATATTTATAATACTATAATTTCTTTAAATAAATCAATCAATAATGTTCTATTTACAAGTATTTTGTTTTAATTAATGGCTTAAAAATATCTTTGTAAACAAAGTAAGTAATATTTATTCGTAAGTTTAAATATATTTCCTGGCCAATTAAGGCAAAGTTGATAATCTGTAAGGTTTTCGCACTCTCTTGAAACCACCGCGAGTATTTGAATTCATTGACCGCGAAATTAACAACACTTTGTCACATTAACAATGGCAATTACCGTGCATTTTGCGGCTATTCCGGATCAGTATTGTCCCATTGCGAGCCTGGCTAATTACAATATGCTCAAAGACCTTACATACTATATGTGTGTTGCCGCGGATAGGTAGGTATGTAAATATATTTAAAAAACCTGAATTATCTTTAACCAATCAGGTTTATAGCGTTGAGAGCCGATGATGCGCGCAAAAACAACTCGAAATCAGAGTGAGTAAGGGAGCAGCAGATATGGTAACAAAAAAAACCCCGACATACGACATTGTCCAAGTATTAATTGTGCGGAATAAAGTGAGTTGCCTTTCCTCCGTGTGTATTTTAGTCGAAGCTGTGCGGCTAAACCGTGAGGTTCAGGCAAATCGTTTCAGAAAAATAAACTCGTAAACTGGAACACGCCAAGGGATTGCAAGTACCAGTATGTTAGCCGCCGTTCCCGCCTGTGTAAGTCCGGCGTTTGTCTTTTGGCGGGCCGTAATTTAGTGGCAACCCAACCCCATTTCAATCGCATATTTCACACAGCTGGCCCTGCTCGCTGTGATAAGCTCACAGGCTCTGTTCCCCCAGGCAGCTCCCTTCCCAGCAATCGAGAATGCGTCAGTATCTCCGTGGCAGCGGTGTTAGTCCCGTATTTTACCTCGTTTTTGTTTTGTTACCTTTTTTGTGCCATTATTCAGTGCCTTCACCAGCTACGATTTACAGGCCGAAGAGTCGGCGCCGGCTTTAAGCCAGGTCCATGTCCAGCATAATCGGCACCGTCGACATCATGGGGAAGGCAATTACCATGGTCATAGCCACCACAAGCGGCACTGGGATCACCATTTTCCCGGCCCGGACTGTCATCATCCAGGCGGCTTTGGGTTTGAGCATCCACCGCACTATGGGCCACCACACCATCGGTTCGAGCCATTTCCTCACGGGTTCGAGCCCTTTCCAAACACCTTTGGACCGCCGGAATATGAGGAGCATCAGCGCCCCTTCAAAGCGGACCTGGAGCCCTTCAATGGTAAGTGCCGGTTCATCACAAAAATGCATTACTCATACAAACAATTTAGGGAAGAAATATTTACTAGGTAAGGTCTGAAATTTTGAATATGGGGGCAATTTTTTGTTTATTTCCTAATCTACCACAAATAGCAACAAAATTTTAATGAATCAAGATTATAAAGTTCACACTGTTTTATATTTATTATCAGTAGTATTTGCTTTAATAGAATATATTTCATAATAAAACAAAACATAAATCTCAAAATAAAAACCTCAGATTCTCTCACACTCACTCTCTATGGAAAGTAAACAAATTATTGAATTTCTACATTGAAATGTTTATGTTATTTGTGAAACGTTTTCATTGCGGTTTGCCTTAATAGTAACATCTGGTCATTAATTTTATGATTTTCCAAGCCATTAACTGCTAAGAATACAAAAAGGGAAAACATTTAGGAGTATTTTTTAAGAAGAGAACTAAAACTATAAAAGTATTAAAAATATATAAAAAATATCCATAACGAAATACATAATCTTCCAGATAACAAGAAGTCGGGTCCACCCAGCACGACTAGTGTAGCTCCGCCACCTGCCCCATCTTCCATCCCAGAAACTTCCACAACCACAACTGCAAGAAGCACAACCTCCACCACCGCAGCAACCACTGCTGCACCCACCAGTTCCAGTTCCAGCACCGAAGATGCCACCTTGGCCATTGACATACGCCTGGGCTGACAACTTAGACCTAAGACTCCTATTCTTTTCTGTATTGTGTGACATTAAAGGGGCTACCTTAACCACAAGTTATCTATCCATTACCATTATTATTGTCGTGCGACGAAGCCTGGATGCGAAAGGGTAACACTATCTGGGCCATTTACAGGGATCTTTATTTAGGCCCAGCCAGAAATATGGTAATTCTAGAGCATAAACAACGGGGGGGTGCCTTCAGATCTGGCCGTAAAATAAAATCCGAATGCAAAACAATCGGAAAGAAAGTGGCAAAACAAGCGAGATCTGGAAACGGGCACAGAGTCAGCCAGAAGAGACACAAAAGCTTGTTCCCTTCCTCTCGCCCCCGACCAATTCTTTGAAGAATCGCAACTCTCACGCACTCTACGCAGGAACAAAGGCGCAATCCAAGAACCGGACTGCAAACCTCCCACTATAAAAGCCGCACTGTTCGAGAGTTTGACTGTCATTTGACGCCAAACGCGCGTCGTACGCAGATCGCTCGAGAAACCCTCCGATATATAAATATATATTCGACTCATCCCCGATCCAGCCGGTGTTTTTCGTGGAGGAGCATTAAGAAATGGGTAAGCCTGGCCGTGCATATAAAGTGCAGATCGGTGAACGAACTTGAGACCTGCAGCATTATGGACACATAACCTTAGCTGTTCCATAAATACAACACATAAAGCCAATGTGGGCTTGGACTTTATTCAATTATTATATATGCAAGTCGCGTGGATCTCGAAAAAAAAGTAATCGTGGCCGGGAATCGATTCGAGTACTGGGAAAAGGCTAAACAAATGTGTAGAAGCGTTAAAAAAGGTTTTAGATTTCAATTACCAAATTAAATTCTTTCTTTAAAATTTACACAACACTTAAATCTTTAAATTATTTTGAAATAAGAATACTAATTTTTAGGCTTAAGCCTTGTTTTACTATTGAACTTCGCTGGTGAAAATTATTTCCCTATTTTAATTATAGAAATAGGATTATCATATCTGACCACTTTTAATCCCATTTCAGTGCACTATTTGGCGATCATTGTGCTGGGCGTGCTCTCCTCCTGGCCAGGTGGAATCTCGGCCGGTGACCAACCTGCTCGAATTGTCTGCTATTTCAGCAACTGGGCTGTTTATCGTCCCGGAATCGGTCGATATGGATTGGAGGATGTGCCCACCGACCTTTGCACTCACATTATTTATTCCTTTATTGGGGTGAACGACAAAAACTGGGATGTTTTGGTAATCGATCCCGAACTGGATGTGGATCAAGGTGGATTCAGAAAGTTCACAGATCTGAAGAAGACTCATCCGAATGTAAAGCTGGAAGTGGCGGTTGGCGGTTGGGCTGAAGGAGGCTCTAAGTACTCGCAAATGGTCGCTGTTCGAGAAAGACGCCAGAGTTTCATACGCAGTGTGGTACAGTTCATGCGGCAGTATAATTTCGATGGCTTTGATCTGGACTGGGAGTACCCGGGCGCCACTGATCGCGGGGGTAGTTTTGGAGACAAGGACAAGTTCCTGTACTTTGTTCAGGAATTGAGACGTGCCTTTGATCGCGAAGGAAAGGGCTGGGAGATAACCATGGCAGTCCCCGTTGCCAAATTCCGACTTCAGGAGGGCTACCACGTTCCAGAGTTGTGCGAGTAAGTCCCCCTCAACTCCCCCTTGTTTAAACTTTAGAATTACCAATTTCTTTAGGCTGCTGGATGCCATTCATGCCATGACCTATGATCTGCGAGGAAACTGGGCCGGATTCGCCGACGTTCACAGTCCGCTCTACAAGCGAAAACACGACCAGTACGCCTATGAACGCCTGAATGTGGTAAGTTAGGAGAATATAGGGAATTCGGAGAACGATGTCTATAGGTAATAACATCTTCCATTCAAGAACGACGGCCTGGGACTGTGGGAGGAGATGGGCTGCCCGGCCAACAAACTGGTGGTGGGCATTCCCTTCTACGGACGCACCTTTACGCTGAGCAACTCGAACAAGAACTACAACATGGGCACCTACATCAACAAGGAAGCTGGCGGTGGTGCCCCGGGTCCGTACACCAATGCCAGCGGTTTTCTGGCCTACTACGAGATCTGTACGGAGGTGATGGACAAGTCTAAGGGATGGACTCTGGAGTGGGACGATGCCGGAATGGTTCCCTTCACCTACAAGGACACCCAGTGGGTGGGTTATGAAAACGAGGCCTCTGTCCAAATCAAGATGGATTACATCAAGAACCGTGGATATGCTGGAGCCATGACTTGGGCTATTGACATGGACGATTTCCACGGATTGTGTGGAAGGAAGAATGGTCTCATGCAGATTCTATACGACAACATGAAGAGCTATACGGTTCCAGAGCCAACCAGGGAGACTACGCCAAGAGTAAGTGATTATTTATGAAATTAGTGAATAATTAGAGTATTAATTAATGCTTCGATTTTATAGCCGGAGTGGGCCAAACCACCAGCCACACCACCGAATGCAGATGAGGGTCCTGTGCCGCAGGCTAAACCAACATCCACCACCACTCGCCGGCCCAAGCCGAAGCCCCAGCCAACTTCTAGCTCTGTTAGTACCACTTTAGCACCGGTGCCATCTGTGGGCAGCAGTACTCCAAAACCAACCACAAAGGTAAGAAACTTGAAATAACTCAAGACGATTACTAAGATTCTTCTTTTTAGAAACCCAAAAAACCGAAGAAGACTACAACCACCACCACTACGACTACCACAACCCCGGCTCCTGAGAAAACAACTGAAGATCCTGAAGAAATTGTGGATCCCGAGCAATCCGTTAGCACACAGTTCGATCCAAGCGAAATCGATTGCACCAACAAAGATTTTGTGCCACACCCGAACTGTAGAAAGGTAAGAGGAAAATATCTTACATAAGGTACCCATATATTAGTTTAATTTCTTATATTTTCTTCAGTACTTCCGTTGTGTCCATGGCAAGCCTGTAGAATTTGAATGCAAAGAGGGCACAGCCTTCCACACAGTCCTGAACGTTTGCGATTGGATCGAGAACAGCGATCGTTACTACTGCACCCGTTCGAAGAAGAAGTCAGAGGGCAATGAGACCCACAAATGAATTTAAAATGAAATACATTTATTTATTATTATTTTTAAATTACGAAAAAACGAGAACTATGCAGTTAGGATTAAGCTATTTAATATAATCTAAAATTAATAGCTACTAAGGGTCATAAAATACATTGAAGAGATTACTAGACGAGACGAAAGAAATAAAAATAAATAAAATTTCAGAATCAAATAAAACAAAAAGTTAATGAGCCATTCAATAGAAGTGTGAGCAATCTAGTGGCTAGAGTCTTGCATAACGCAACGATATATAGAGGATTACGTATACGTGATGCTCCTTGCCCTGCCGCGATTTGGATGGGAATTTGCCAATCTTAATTACGCTAATAAACGCAATGACTTGGGACATTTTTGCACTTGTCCGCGGCGAGGTGCGGCCAGGTGAGGTGAAATGGGTTGAATGAGGGAAAACCTTGGAACACGACCAGCGAACAGCTGTTCGTGCAATCAACCATTCAAATGAGCAATGATAAATGCTACAACGAATTTGAAATTATTTCAATCCTTAGCATTTGATTTTAATAATCTCCACTCATGTACCAAAAACAAAAAAGAGTCAAAGAGAGACTAAGGGAAATGGATATTAAGTATTTGTGACACAAAACAAATCGCAAAGAGCCCAGGATGCTGCTCAAGCTGCCTACAATATTTCGAAATATTCGTATTTATTAGTTTTTGGCTGGTTTTTTTTTTGGCTCAAAAGACACTCTGAGTAATATTAGGTATGAGCACCGTAGTATCTATAATTAAACATTCCTCCAAAACGAAAGTGTTGAGAGAGAAAGTGATCTAATACCAGCTAAATTCCAATCAATCAGAAAATCTTTTCCAAACCTAAAAAATAGAACATATTTTTTTAAGATTTATTTTAAAGAAGATTATGCCTAGAATCTATTATTTTTTCCTCGATTTTTCCGCCGGGTCCTTTCTTAAATTTGTAGAAAGTCCAAGAAGAGAGCAGAGAAAATAGAAAATCGAAAATGAGAAGAGCACCAGCATTAGCACTCACTCACTCAACTGTGTGTGCTTTTGACAAAAATTCGTGCTACGAAAATATCAAAATCGAATAATTTTCGCGGTCACAAGGTAAATTCATGGTATATGCATGTTGAGTTACGAATTGGTTTTGGACCGGGAGAGATCGTCTCGTATACTCGTGTAGGCCACACCGAAATTTCCTCCTTTTAGACTATCTAGATAGAAAATAGATGTGTCTTCTGATCTGTTCAGTTTGGGGAAAATTCGAGCTGCCCTGTTCAAAAAACGACACGCACACGACGTGCACAGACGACCCAAACGAAGACGACCACGACGGCCAGAAATAAGCAAATTATTTAGCTAACAATCGTCGAAAGGGACACTAAGGATTACCCAGCCGACGATTGTTGGTTAAATTTTGCTAACGGCAGCGCGAAAACTCAAATTTTAAATCATCAAAATAAATATATATATTTTAAATAATTTATAATCGATTTAAAAAGTGAAAGAAAAAACGAACAAGTGCAAAATTGGAAGCCCACTAAAACTGTGACAAAATTTGTGCGAGCCTAATTGAATAGCTATACCTATATATAAACACCAGATATCCAACATACATACTATATATCCTACACGCACTCACATAGCAAGAAAAAAAAATAAAAATAAAGAAATATTATCCATTGGCTGACCGGCCCTAAATAATTGTTAAATTCTTTACCCTTTCATTTAGTGCATTTAAACGAGCGCATATATAGCGGATGCATATATATGCAGAATACGAGCAAAAGTGTTAATTCTAATTTTCCCTAATTATTCATAATTACGGAAAACTTGCAAGGAGAATTTATGACGTGGCTAAAGTGTTGACCACGCTGGAAACTCGAGGATAATTTGTTGTTTTGATTATTATGGGGCGGCTAACAATTTGGTTCCTTTTGGGACTAACGTTATTCGCCGTCTCCAATCATGGTGAGTACTACTTTCATCAATCGAAGGATTAAATCCCTGTATCTATATCCTATAATTTTACCATTCTATCACCCCGGAATTATATAAGGGAAAGGGCAAGTTGACACTTTAGAATTCTTGACAGATTTTTACGCAGCCTGGGCAGGCTGACACATTATGCAATTTTATAACAAAAAGCCAAGAAAAACAGAAGGAAGACGTCCGACAAAAATATATATTAATATACGTTTAAAAATATTTGCCTGAGTTTGTGCGTTCTCTATATTTTTGGGGGTTCTGTGTTGGTGTCTGCAAACGTCAGTGGACGACAACCACTAGTGGCACATCACAGATACAGATACATCCTCTGCCTTTGCCGATTTTTTTTTCAAAAGATTTTCTTTTTTTTTCATTTCTGGGAGAGCTGAGATTTTTGCTCCGCTTGGCCGCTCCTCGTTGTCATCGTTTGTAATATTTTTAAATTTAGAATTTTTAAATTATTTTATTTGCGCTCAACGAGCTCTTTCCACCTATCCATTCGGCCGTGCCATGGGTAGTGTGCGAAATGTCTCTGTGTATTTTGTTTGGTTTGCTCAAGTTTGCAAAAGAGCCACAAAAAAATTGGGGAAAAAATGAGAAATGGCGCAAATGCGGTGAACTATATTATACAAGGCTGGGGATGGGCTCGATTGCAGCAACATAAACACAATATGCAGGCAGCAGGCAGGCGGTCGGCAAAATTTGTATAAATAATTCTATCAATGCGGATAGCTTTGAAATGTGAAATTGCTTAAATAGTTTCCTCCCCCACAGAATCGCCCAGAAATAAATCAAACGAATTACCCGCTGACAGGCAAACTGCACATTGAAAACTTTGTTGGCCAACTATTTTAATTCCGACTTAATTGGATACCAATTGGCTTATTGGTTAATGTATCATGTATGGTCTAATCCTTCATTGGACACTCGTCCAACATGTCAGAGAATAGAGTAAAAGTAATTAGCTGGACGACCTCACCACCAAACCCGTCACTCAAACGGACGACCTTCCATTACTAAATAGCAAATGTTGAAGATGTAGAATATTCCATTGCAAATGGTACGCCCCCGCATCCGGATTTTTTTTTTAATTTTTGGTTGCAAACAGTAAGGTGGCCAAGAGAAACAAAAATAAAGAAGTAAAGCCAAAGTGGGCGAGTAGCCAAAAAAAATGGTACAGAAATTTACTCATCCACAAGCTGGCGAAATGTGTTTGAGTTTTCATCTTTTAAAAATAAAATTCATAAATCCGCCGCATATACTTATTTATTCCGTAGAGTGTGTGCTTGTACAGCGCCGAGTACCATAAATAATGTCAAGTTTGAACAGATAGAATGACCTCGGCGCTGCCGCTGACATCAAACTGAGAAAGTGCGGCAATTGTTCTCCGATGAAGAAATGAAAATAGCATTAGGGCTTGTCCTAGGGCCATTCCTAGGGCCTCTTCTTGGGTCTTTCCTGGGGATTTCTCACACTTTCGCTTATACTCGTATTACAAATTGATCTGTCAAGTGATGTGACCGGTGACATTTCATGGTTTTTCTTGCAGTTGGGTTTGTTAATGCCGATGTCGGACCAAGCGAATCAGAATGTCGACCCTATATTGAAAAGGCCATAAATGAATTGAAAACAGGTAAGAATAATATTTATTTTAATTAATAGAATTATAATGAATGAATAGTCCTATTGAAAGGACAAATTAAAAATAAGAAAATCCATTAGTGTATGTCAATTTCTTTTTTAAAACATATTTGTAAAAAAAACATATAAACTTGTCACTTTGAATGATTAAATAAAAAAATTGCCTCTAAAATCATAAGTGAGATAAGAGATTCAAAACCTAAATGGGTTGCTAAACATAAATTAAATATATAGCTATATATCTATATCGCAAAAGATCAGAGTAAAATCATGTTGTCATGACAAAGATAAGAGCTTTTTTTATCTCTATAAATTTAAAAAATTTATGAATCATTTTGGGATATAATTGACCTAATGCTATAATTCTAGATGGTGTCAGGGATGGATCTGGAGAACTACAATCCGATCAGCCACGAGGGGACGACGACGACGACGATGATGATGATGGTGGGCTATCCTCGATTGATGAAAAAGATACGATAGAAATTGAAACTGTCGAATTGGATTCCACAGAGGACGCGAAAAGTGCCAACGACCTGGACGGCGATGGCATTCCCGATGACGAGGACGATGATATTGACGGAGATGGCATACCGAACGAAAAGGACGACGACATCGATGGCGATGGCATACCCAATGAGGAGGATGACGACATGGATGGCGATGGCATACCCAATGAAGATGACGACGACATCGATGGCGATGGTGTGCCCAACTCCAAGGATGAGGACATCGATGGCGATGGTGTGCCAAACTCCAAGGACGAAGACATCGATGGCGACGGAAAGGCGAATCACGGTAAGTCCTTCCGATTAAATTAAATTATAATATATCATTGGTAATTTTATCCTCCAGAGGACGATGATCTAGATGGCGATGGCACTCCAAATCATGGTAAGAATTCTCTTATAATTTTCATTTATTATTTTGAAGCTAATAATGTGCCTCTTAAAGCCTCTTAATATAAATCTGATTCTTTTTATAGCTTTAACAATTTTAAAACATAATTTGCTCAATTTGAAAGCACTTTGTCATATTTTCAGCTATTTCACTAATGCAACGCTCTAATATAATATTATTTGCTTTTCAGCTGCCAGACCACTTTTAAATATTTTCAAATCTTATAATTTTCACTTTCAACACTTTCAGAGGATGAGGATCTGGATGGCGATGGTGTGCCCAATACCGAAGATGATGATCTAGACGGCGATGGCACTGTCAATCATGGTAAGAATATTCAAAATTTATTATAATATACAACAAAAAGTATAATAATAATATTTTTGCCAACAGAGGATGAAGATCTTGATGGTGATGGTGTGAAAAATGATGAAGATGAGGATCTCGATGGTGATGGCAAAGTAAATCATGGTAGGTTTGGGCCAAATTTTAGTAAAGAATCAAACTAAAGTAATTATTTTTGACACTGCAGAGGACGAAGATCTAGATGGCGATGGCGTTAGGAACGAAAAGGACGACGACTTGGATGGCGATGGCACCAACAATTCTCGTTAGTTTATTTTTTTTAAATAATGAAAAGGAATTTCCTAAATGGTTTCATCTCACAGAGGATGAGGATCTTGATGGCGATGGTGTGCCAAACGAAAAGGACGAAGATCTGGATGGCGATGGCATCCTGAATGAACACGATGGGGATGTCGATGGCGATGGGGTTCCCAACGAGCACGATCACAAGGATAGTGGCGAGAACAACGATGATGATGACGACGACGACGATGATGATGATGATGATAAGAAGGAGGCGGTCAAGAAGCGCAGCAAGCGTGAAGTGGATGCTGCTCCCGTTCTGGACATCGAGGCTCCTCCAAGCCCCACTGAAGAGTTCCCCGTAGAGGAGGAAATCGTTAAGGAGGAATCCGCCGAAGCCGAAGCTGAAAAGGAACAGGAACAGGAACCAGAGCCAGAAGTCGAGGTCGAGGCAGAAAAAGATCCCGAGCCAGAGCCTGTCCAAGAGGAAAAGGAAGAGTCTGTAGAAGAGAAGGAAGAGGAACAGGCAGCTCCAGTCGAGGAGGCTAAAGAGGAGTCCGCTGAGCAGGAAGCTGCTCCCCAGGAACCCGAGGCTGCCAAGGAAGATGCTGTGGAATCCGAAGAAGCTCAGGATGAGCCCCAGGCAGATGCTGCTAAGGAAGCCGCTGGTGACGACGACGATGATGACGATACCAAACCGGAAGATGAACTTCTCTGGGTATGTTATTATCAAATCCTTTAAGTATTCATATTAATATAAATACCTTTTATTTTCTAGGAAGGAGAAATCCCCCAGAATCGTCGCAGTCGCCAGCACATTTCGGAACTTCTCCAATTGGACGAGGAGTTCAATGCCCGCGAAAAGGCCACCGATAATGTGGCTGAAATCATCCTGCGTGACATCAAGCGCATCTACGAGAATGCCGTCAAACCCCTGGAGACTCTCTACAAATACCGCGATCTGAGCAACCGCCATTTTAGTGATCCGGAGATCTTCTCCAAGCCTCTGATCTTGTTCATGGGGCCCTGGTCCGGTGGCAAGTCCTCCATCCTGAACTATTTAACCGATAATGAGTACACACCGAATTCGCTTAGAACTGGTAAGTAAACTTTGTTTTCATAGGATTTATGTGTAGGATCAATAACTTCCAAAGATAAAGCTAAAATTTCATATAAAATTTCCTCATTCGATATGTAAAAGGTGCTGAACCCTCGCCAGCCTACTTCAATATCCTGATGTGGGGCAACGAGACGGAGGTTCTTGACGGCACCCAGCTGGCAGCCGACTACACCTTCTCTGGACTGCAGAAGTTCGGCCAGGGACTGGAGGAGCGTCTGCGAGGACTCAAAATGAAGAGCAAGCTGCTCGAGAAGGTAGGCCAATGCATATATGAAATAATAACCAGGTCAGAGCAGGGACAGGTGCTTATTATTTGGGCACCGGGACATTAACTTTTCATCCCAGGGCAACAACGAGCCCGACGATTGGGAAACTGCTAGCCACTGGCCACCTGCCAAACGGAATTTATAGCTTTTAGCGCACAGTCTGCATTAATTTCGTTATTAATAAATTGATGCGGGATGGCAGGGCGGCCGACAAATGGGGAAAATAGCAAAGGCAGCGTTACTAAATTTAAGCACTATACTAGTGCAGATGCTAATGCATATTCGAATGTGAATGTAAATGAAAATACGAATGCAATTCCGAATCTCTTTTCAGGTCAACATCGTCGAGATACCCGGCATTCTAGAAGTGCGCAAGCAGGTATCCCGCGTCTTCCCCTTCAACGACGCCTGCCAGTGGTTCATCGATCGGGCGGACATCATCTTTCTGGTGTACGACCCGGCCAAGTTGGATGTGGGTCCCGAGACGGAGGCCATTCTCGACCAGCTGAAGGGACGCGAGTACCAGACGCGCATCATCCTCAACAAGGCTGACACTGTCAAGCCAGAGGAGTTGTTGCGCGTCCAGGGCGCTCTCATCTGGAACATCTCGCCCCTGATGTCCTCCGCCCAGCCGCCGCTGATGTACACCACCTCGTTGTGGACCCATCCCTACCAGGACGGTGCCCCGGCCCGCCTGCTGCTTGCCCAGGAGCGTGCCTTCCTGCGTGATCTGCGCACGGCTATTGACAAGAGGATCGAGCACAAGATTGCCAGCGCCAGACGTTTTGCGGTGAGTAACCGGGCGTATACGTAATATTACCTACAAACTGATTGTAGGCTATATGTACGGTAAAATTTTGTTAATCTTTTATATTTATTTTGATTAATTTTTTATTTTTTATCTTTAAACAGGTGCGTGTTCGCAATCACGCCAAGATGGTGGACTGTTACCTGAACACCTTCTACAACCACAAGACCTTGTTCGGCAACAAGAAGCGCATCGCCGACGACATCATTGACCATCCTCAGAACTACCACATCTATGAGGGTCTGTCTACCCTGACGAACATCTCGCGTTACGATCTGCCGGATCCGGAGGTCTACCGCGACTTCTTCCGCCTGAACCCGCTGTACGAGTTCAAGAAACTGACGGACACCTGCACTTACTTCCGCGGCTGCCCGATCACCAAACTGGACGTGGCCATTGCCTACGAGCTGCCCGAGTTGGCCGGAAAGTACAAGAAGATGTCCGAGTCGGCTCTGGCCAGCATCGAAGCTCAGCAGGATCAGGCACAAAATGAGCAGCGGATCCCCAACCAGGCTGATCCGAAAAAGACGAGTTGAGGTCCCGGCTCCTAAAAAGGAGTAAACCTGCCATTTAGTTTGTTTTAGTGAGAGATAGAGAGAATGTGACATCGGCACCGGTAACCGTCTATAGGGAATTAATATCGAGGAAGACTAGAGAAATGGAGAAGGAAAGGTAGAGAGAGGGGTAGCACTTACAGGGCCAAGGAGAAAGCTAATCCTTGTTAAAGTAACCCCAAAATATATCTGTAGAGAACAACAGCGCAAGACAAAAAACAGAAATGGTTTGTTGGAAGACAAAGAAAGGAGTAGAGCTAGAGAGAGAGAAAGAAGAGCGGGCGGGCGAAAGAGATAGAGAGCAGTTCTAAATGTCAAAGGTTGGTTCGGTGAACTTTTGATTTCAACCGCGATGCAGGAGATCTTTACTTAATTTTGATTTCTTTTTTAATACTAAACCGAACTGAGAGCTTTTTGAGAGGGAAAACTAAACAAATATCGAGAGCAAACACACAATCACACACAGAATACCCAGTAATATCTTTGTTAACCGAGTAGAGAGGGAAGAGCGAGTCCTTTAGATAGGAGCAAATCATTAATTAATCCATAACTGAGAGCAAATAACTTATAGACGAACAATCGACGATTTCTAACCCACCTAATCCGACCCCTCATTGGCCAACATCCTTTTATAATTCCCCAGTATCGGTTTTTTTTTCTATTCTTTCCTCAAGTAGTAGTAGTCAACAGCGCCGAATTTTGAGTTTGAGATGTGAGATCTGAGATATACATAAATATATGAGAAATGAGGTTTGAGCAAATGGAATATTAAAGTTTTGGTTTTTGTTTTTTTGTTTTTGACCCTGACGATGTCGTAGTTGATAAGACTTTTTTTAATAAAAGCAAACAGTGAAGACGATAATAAAAAATTTAACTTACTTAATCATGAATAACTTAAATGCGTGAAAGATAAAAAGAACTTGTTGACGAGCGTGCGCAACGCGTATACACATAAATAAATCATAATCAATTTTACACATTGAAAACCTTCGTAAAAATGAACTGTGAGAGCGGGTGAAATACACAACTAAATAAAAACAAAGAAAAACCCTAATCCATAAGGTGTTTAAATTAGGTGTTTTTGTAGGGGACCCTCTAGAAAATTTGAAAAAAAATAGAAAAAAATATTTTGATCCTAGATTTTGATGCAGATTTGTGTCTTTTAAGGTATTCCGCTGAAGAATCGGATAACTTTTGGCAAAGATACAGCGATTGGCGTTTTATGCGTTTTTACCATTTTTGAAGGGGACCCTCCAGAAAATTTGACAAAAAATCTAAATAATATTTTGATCTTAGATTTTGATGCAGATTGATAGAGAATCGATATACAAATCGTTTAAGGTATTCCGCTGAAGAATCGGATGACTTTTGGCAAAGATACAGCGATCGCAGGAGCCCATATTGGCGTTTCATGCGTTTTTATCATTTTTGAAGGGGACCCTCCAGAAAATTTGACAAAAAATTGAAAAAATATTTTGATCCTAGATTCTGATGCAGATTTGTGGAGAATCGACGTACAAATCGTTAAAGGTATTTTGCTGAAGAATCGGATGACTTTTGGCAAAGATACAGCGATCGCAGGAGCCCATATTGGCGTTTCATGCGTTTTTACCATTTTTTAAGGGGACCCTCCAAATTTGACAAAAAATCGAAGTTAATGAAATAATATTTAAAATCAATATAAATTTAATTACAAAAATAGAAACAATATTTATTTTTGTATTAAATAAATAAAACTCATTGATTAAGTATTCGAGAAATCTGATATCTTTTTCAAAAACTTCACATTAACGTTTAGTATTTTGTCAGTATTAAACATTAACAGCTGATTCCTACCGGCGTTCGGCTATCGTTATCGTTATCGCATTACCTAATATATCAAGCTGAAATCGGGGCCGGAATAAAACTTGGATCAGCTGAAAATGCATACGGATCTCTCGGCCCATCTGCACACCCCCGCTTGCAATAAATTAATTGAAGAACTTCAGGCCTGCCATCAGAATGTGAGTCATTCACCATCAGAATCAGTCAGTCAATCCTTCAAGACACTATTTAAGAAACATTCTTACAGCACGCTTTTGCCAAGTTTGTTGGCGTTTGCAACAGCATAGACGACAAGGTGGTCAAGTGCCTGAAGGGAGAACGCATTGCTAGATCGGCGGCCAATAGAGCTAAAGCTCGTGAGCGCCAGCAGCAGTATAAGGAAAAACTTTCCCAGGAGAACCAGTAAATTCATTAATCAGAACACAAGATGACCGCTGCAGTCGAGGACCCCTTGGAGAAGTTCTACTTCGAACACGAGGAGCAAACGATTTGTGGTCAGCCAGTGAGCCCCATAACCGATAGCTTCGATGTAAATTATCCCAGCGTTGTGGACCGCTTCTTTACCAGATACTACTACTTCAAAGGCAAGGTCCCCTACCAAGTACTCTATCACTCCAATCGCATCTGCCTTATCTGCTTGGCTCCTGGTCATCCTGCCTTTAGCCAAGGAATATCGTCGGTTAATTTTGATGTTGGTAATGTAGACCGCAGCCAAAATGTGGTCAAGGGAAAGGCAAAAAGAGGTGGAATGATTCTCCAAGCGGAATCGACTCTCGCCTTGCTCACCACCGAAAACGGAGAAACCTACAAGGTTCCCAGCTGCATCCGCGGAAAGCTGGTTGAGGTGAACACGGCTTTGGTGGAACAGCCCAAGTTACTGGAGCAACTTCCCGAAGGAGCGGGTTACTTTGCCATCCTTCTTCCAAAAATCGAGAACTGCGACGCTATCAAGGCAAGTTTATTGACTCAGGAGCAGTACGAGGAGCGCCTAAAAGTTAAGGAAGAGGTTGATACATGACTAGTTAGACGATAATTTTTTAAAGTTAAAAATAAATAGATTTTGTTTGGCATTTCTATTAGACTAATATTTGTTCGCACAAAGTTTATTGTTTCTTCGAAACTCAGGGCCAATAATAAAGCAGATTTACTTGATATATAAAGTACAAATTAAAACTTGGTCTAAAAATTAAACGTTCTTTTTTTGTAATTCCTTCAACATTCTATAAATTTAAGTTTCTTTAATTTAAATTTGGAAATATAATTACAGTACAGTGCCGTCCCGACATAGTTACTCTAGCTTAACAGAGGCTGTTAACTACAAAAAGCAGTTGGCAACGCGACGCAACACGTGTGAGAAATAAACAGCTGTCTGTGACGCATTTTGTTTGGAACTTGAAGAATTGTAAATTAAATTAAAATAAAATGTCTGCAAGCAAGCAAAAGAAACTCAATGATATGGAAGTGGACCCCAACGATGACGACTCCAGCTCCAGTGAGGATGACGACGACGAGCCGCATCCAGATGCTTACAGGGGCAATGAAGTGCGTGGACCCTTGAAACCCATAAACAATTTGAAATACAAAAGCGCCTAAATTTCAGGAACTGGATGTAGATTTTGAGGGCCGTGCCCCGGTGGATCCAGATGCCCAGGGTATCTCCCAATTGCTGCAGCGTCTTTTCCTGCGAGCTCACATCAATTGTAACCAAATGGCTGATTTGATTGTTGGTATGAAGCACCCCACTTTAATTTTTGTTAAGAATCTAAATAATTATGATTGTTTTCGTAGCACAAAACTACATTGCGAGTGTAATAAAACAGTGGATTGGTGACGAACCTGAAAGCGAAGCTGATGATGACAACATGGCAGAGGATGACACAGTTTTTGGAATCACCACTGTTCTGAATTTGACCGCCAAGAAGGACCAGCCCAGCATTGCCCAGCTGCGCACTTACTTACTGGATCGAGCCAAGACGCATGCTTCGGGAAAAGTTTATCAGCAGCTCAAGGAGCTTCTGGACAATGAAGAGCGGCATGTGGGATTTCTCATCAATGAACGGTTCATTAATATCCCAGTCCAGATCTCTGTGCCACTCCTGCAGAACCTGCAGGAGGAAATAGACGCCGCCAAGGCTAAAAAGATGAAGTTTGACTTTGACACTCTGTTGCTTTTAGTCAAATTCTATCGGAAGGAAGCGAAGAAGGGCAAACCGGTTGAGGATGAGTACAGCAACCCCGAGGACGAGGTGCTTTCAGACGGAGCCAAGATATCCTTTGAGTATTCGGTGGCCTCGGAAACAGATTCCGGTATGTCCGGGGATTGGCTGGAGGGCGATGCTGTCCTGACACCCTACAGGAAACTCTTGGTCCTGGAGGCCAAGCAGCTGCCACAGCTAATCAATGACATTCAAAGCTTCATCGATGGTGAATAAAGTGTGACTTTCTGTTATATTTTTGATTTTAATTGTGGGAAAGGGTATAGGATAGTACCTTAAAACCTCTCTGAAATTTAAGAGAAGTTCTATAGTTCAAAAGATAATTTTCAGACGGCTTATAGAAGCTTTTCTTGGCTATTCATTTTGAAAAAAAAAATACAAAGAAATGGCGTTAGAACTGCAGTGTTGAAAAACGTTGGAAATAAAAACTTTGAAAGTTTGAAAAGTGTTGGAGAGGAATTTCGGCTAACGACAAAACAGCTGGCCGGCTTTTTAACGTTGCTATTGTTTTCGCGTTTTGGCACAGAAACTGCATCCAGCGTGGACGTGACTGGCAAGAAGAAATATTTGATCCAAGCGAGGTGAGGTGCGGTAGCGTGAGTAGACCTTGCCTTTGTTGTTGTTTTTATTCCTATGTTGTTGTTTTGACAAATCGGTGAACTGTGATCATACAGGCGATTATTCATCGCTCGTGCAATTTGTTGTCGTTCGTTTCCAATTTAACCAAAGTTCTCGCTTCTCAACTGTATAAAAGGTTGGCCCTCCCAAGCCGATCAGTGCATAGCTTTCCAGAGCGTTATCAATACCAAGCGTTCCAAGTGTTTGAAGGCGTCTTATCGCCCCTTTTCAGTTCCAGATCCCGCTCCCAAGCGCTCCCAGTTTCCAGCTGCAATCCGTTTAGCTTTGTTTCAAGTTCAGTGACGCCCCACTTGCCGATCGATCGAGTCGTGTTGCTGCCTTAACGTCCTCCTCGCCATGGGTATCGAAAAGTAAGTATCAAGTAATAAGAAAATAGAGGGTGTGTTTTAAATTAAGAGGGTTTAGTTATCTGGCCGCCACGCTTAGCGATTGCTAATCAATTGCTCTGCATTGTACTTGACGTAATCGGAATACTTTAGTGAAGAGTGAGATAAACTTTTATCTTAACAAGAAATGCCGAAATTTATTGGAAATACTACGATCATTGGCAAGATAGCTGCCTACAATAATTTCGTCTTGAATTTGAATTCTTCAGAATTCAGTTTAAAGTTAGAACATCTTAGTTTTTATGAAAGAATTTTTACTTTTATTTTGAGCAAACCACTTATTTTATTATGGTCATTGAAAGCTTATCACAATTTTTTTATTGCATTCAAGAGTTAAGATAATCTCAGCGCCAGGAATGGAAATACTGGGGAAACCACCATGGGTGTAGTTGCTTTTAACAAAAAGAAGGGTATTCGAAAAAACAAATTCCACCTCGTACAACTAGTACTATATTTTTATATCCAATCAAATAACAATAGGCCATGACGTGCAAGAATGCAATAAAAAAGATATTCATTGTCAATGTCAACACCTTGACACCCTGAATTATTTCTTAATTAATTTTAATAAAAAACATACTTCCTGCTACCCTCTAGAATGCTACCGTGCACCCTCCGACTTAACAAGATAGTGAGCCGCACAAACAGCGACTGCCTCTGCATCATTGACCGTGATGCGGTGCCCAGTGAGCTGAAGGATGCCTTCGAGGAGCATCGTTGCTTCGACAAGTCCTTTGACAGCAGCATTTCTTGCTTCAAGGCTGCCAATGTCGACCAGCCCGTGGTGTATGCCCCAGTTCCCGAACTGACCGACTACGATGATGTTAGGAGCTACCAGGAGGCAGCCAAGAAGTCAATGCAAAAGGCAATCAAGGCTGGATTCCAAACTCCCTTGTTGGTTGTTCCAAAGGTGAATCGCTTTCCTCAGGTACAACTTTGCACGGTTCTCGGTGCCCTGGAGCAACTTTATGTGGTGAGTACTTCTCTAAAGGCGACAAGGATAATTTTTATTTAATAGAAATTTTCTACCATTTAAATATTTAAAGCCCATCCAATTGCGTGAGGCTGGAGCTAGCAAGCAGCCTCGCGTGACCACCCTCAGTGTTCAGATTGATGATCCCAAGGCTGATGAGATCCTTAAAGAAGCCCTAATCCTGGAGGCAGGTCGCTTCGTCGCCCGCGACATCGGGGTAGGAGATCCCGAGCGCATGACCCCCATCCAGGTGGAGAAGTACCTCAAGCCGCTGTTCGAAAAGTTGACTGTGAACGTAGTCAGTGATTCGAAGGTCCTGGAGAAGGAGTATCCTCTTTTCGCTGCTGTGAATCGTGCCTCAGATGTCGTAGAGCGTCACCGGGGTCGCATCATCTTTCTGGAGTACAAGCCGACAAAGCCGGCAAAGAAGACCCTGTTGCTGGTCGGCAAGGGTGTGACCTACGACACCGGTGGTGCTGATATCAAGGCCGGTGGTGTGATGGCCGGTATGTCCCGTGACAAGTGTGGAGCGGCCGCTGTCGCCGGTTTCATGCAGGTGGTGAACGAGCTCCAGCCAGCCGATATCCATGTGGTGGGCGCCCTCTGCATGGTGCGCAACAACGTGGGTGAGGAGTGCTACGTGTCCGACGAGATCATCACCGCGCGCTCCGGACTCCATGTTCGTGTTGGTAACACGGACGCCGAGGGCAGGATGTGCATGACGGATGCTCTTTGCCGCATGAAGGAAATGGTTCTCGAACAGAATCTGCCAGATCCCCATCTTTTCACCATTGCCACTTTGACGGGTCATGCCTTCATCTCCGCCGGCGAGGGTCAGTCGATCGCCATCGACAATAGTGTGGCTCAACGCGAGGACCACGCCAGGAAGCTGCAGGCTGCTGGCCAGGCCTTTGGCGAACCTTTCGAGGTCTCCATTCTGCGTCCCAGTGACTTTGCCTTCAACGCCGGTCGTGTGATTGGCGAGGATCTGGTGCAGGCCAACAACGCCCCGTCGGTGAGGACTCCTCGCGGCCACCAGGTGCCAGCTGCATTTATGATCGTGGCTTCGGGACTGGACAAACATGGCCTGGACTCCGAGACCCCCATCAAGTACACCCATATCGATATTGCTGGCAGTGCCGGTGAGCATCCCGCCATGCCCACTGCTGCTCCATTGATTTCCCTCGTCAAGACTCATCTGAGTAACTAAATAATTGGAATGCAATATCGTCTGTACTTAGAAAAAATTATAAAACCTTAACCAACAATATTATTATTATTCTGTCCACTCATGTCATCACTTTGCTTAAAGAATGAATAAATAAAACTGAAAGATTATTATTCAATACATATCTATTATACAATTAAAACATGATCTAGAATAATATGGTTAGGCCACATAAGAAAATTGTAAGCCATCTTGTTTAAGATACAATATCTCTTAGTTTTATTTTCCAGGTATCCATTGTTTGCATAATTGGCAAGCGCCCTGCATTTCGATCTCCCGAGTTGGCCAGACCCGCTTCCCGCCTTCGCTTCCTTCTTGCCGGTTGGCCCACAACAGCCTAGAACCCGTTAGTCGCTTCTTGGCCGTGCCCTCTTCGGCCGTCTCGGCTCCTTGGCCTTCTCCCCCTGGGCGCTATTCTTGAGCGTGAGCTTGAGCTTGGGCCTGGAACTTGGCCCGACTGTCTGTATTCGGTTCTCCAGTTCTCCATTTCTCTGGTTCTCCTCCGGTTGGGGCCACTTGTCAGCTGTCGCATGTGTCGTGGTACCGTTATTGCCTGGCTATGGAAACTCGGTCAAGAGTGTCTCATTCATGCTGTGATTGCATAATATACCGTTGCCTCTTGTTGGCCTTCTTCTTTTCCTCTTACTGTTGCTCCGGCCGCTTCTGCTTCTCGTTCTTGGCCTTCTCCCGAAGAAGCCCGGCCCGGCCCGGCTCCTTCTTGTGGTCTTCTCTTGGGTGCGCTTCTAGGTAATTTATTGACGCATGCCTCCACATTTGACAGTCACACGACTGCGCATTTGGTCATCTGGCCAAGTCGGGAGGCTTGCTAACGGTACTTATTATTGATGAACGTAAAAGTCTTTTTGGTTGACTTCTCTCCCAGATCGCTCCGTTAGTGTGAATTTATGGCCAAGGCGGCACAGACCAAAAAAAAAGCGAAAGAAATGGGTAGAACTGCAGTCTTGGAGCTGGAAGACTTGACCTGATTATGGCAGGACTGGTCTGAAGTCTTCCCGGAAGCCTACCAATCTGGATCATATTCGAGTTGATTAATCGACTCGTTTAACGGAATCGATTTTTAAAATCTTGTTTAATTACTATTTTAATAGAAGCAATAAAATCAAATTACTAAAGGAGGTGCCATAAGATGAGTGGTTTTCCCCCCTCACATCCCTGGAGTTTTAGTACCTTTTCCTGCCGGCCACCCAAGTATGACATCAACACCACAAACCAACAAAACCAAACCAACAAGGAACCACAATCCGGTATGGACAATCACCAAAACACCTTGTCAATTGGGCGCTTAAGATTTGGACGCAGACGAACTGGCTCCGCATATCCACATATCCATTGGATCCGTCCCCGAGTTGCTCCCCGATCCATAAATTCGCGAAAACAGCAAATGAAGAAAACAGCAGCTAAAGGCACCTGGAGGAGACATGGGAGGCTGGTGGTGGTGGTGGCGGCGGCATTAATAATAGCAAACAACAGACAAGCAACACCAAATGAGGGGGGCTGTGTTGATGCTTGTTGCAACTTGCAACTCTTGCACCGGCATCAGCATCAGCAGCCACAGCAGCACCAGCACCAGCACCAACAGCAACAGCAACCACTTGGAGCAGCAAACGACAGAAATGATCTTAAATGAATGCGGAAGTTTTTCTTGGGGTTTCGTAACCAGCTATAGCTAAAGCTGCAGTAGCAACAACAGCAACAACATCACTGTTGGTAGCGCCAAAGAGGTCGCAATTCCAGTGGCAGCTATGTTGCTACATTTATGTACATGTGTTTGTATGGCCAGCTCCAACTCCGACTCCAACTCTGGCTCAGCATCGATGCCGTGAGCCCATAATCATAGATGCAGCCGCTTCTAGCTGGGTCGAAAAACAGCCCAGTCCATGGACATATTAAAATTAATCCAATGATTGCAGCGGCAGCAGCAGCATCAGCATCAGCCACTTGAAAATTGTTAGCCAATTTGGTAGCCTCACTTGGCCTCGCTTCAGT